TATCACAAGGAGCAACTACAATTCAACATAGGTATTTTGTCACAATATTAAGACTACTCATCTTTGTAACAAGTTAGATAACTATAGATTTAGATCTTTTTCTATTAGTGAATAAGTTAATTCTATTGCTTATCGATTATGTCTATTGGAGTTTATAAAAATCCACCTTATATTTTTCATGTCCTTTCTTGAGCCGTATAAGACAATGAATATCTTGAGAAGAAGACAAATGCCACCTCCTCCTATAGAAGTGGATAATAATCAAGAGTTTGAGCTAAAAGAAGTCTTAGATTCAAGGCAGCACCAAAATAGGTTGGAATATCTTGTTCATTTGCTTGGATATGATATTAGTGAATGTACATAGGAGCGAGCAAAAAATCTTGTAAATGCCACAAAGAAAATTGAAGCTTTTTATCAATGACATCTATCAAAATGAAGATAAAAAATAGAAAATCTTTACTATAAAAGGACCAAGATCAAAAGAAGATAGTACTCTACCTTCTATCCTTCTTTATAATGCTAAAGAGATGGAGAACCAAAAACCAGTAGATTCAACTCAAGAGCTTTTATTTGCAAACTTACCAGACGAGACATTGCGATTTCACAACCTTTAAGATGACAAAATTAAGATAAAGATCTTCAAGAATGATATGTCCTTCCTTAATAATATGGCAAGATACAATGTGTTTGATATCTCAACCTTGGTAGCTTAGAAAATAAGCTAACTATGTGGCACACATGTGAAAAACTTATGGGGTAAGTTTTGATATGTGTCTTGCAAAGTCAACATGTTTTGGAGGTCTTATAGGACATCACCACGTAGCTCCTAATTAAGAGTATATATAGAGGTAAGAGTGAAGCCTTCTTCACTCTTGTCAATGCCTTTATATTCTTTAGTCTTATTTCAAGTCTTTCTAATCTTCTTGTTTTTGGCAATAGCCATTCTTGTTAAATATTAAATCATCTTTGAATGACTTTTTAGTTTCTTTTAATGACTTAAGAGTGTATTGAGGATTTTCTTTCTTTGAGATTCATGTCATTGACAAACTTTGATGGATGAATCTACTAGATTATATAAAAAATAATTTTTAAGTATGCAAACTAGGTTTTTGAATTTAGACTTTAAAATTTATATTTTAAGATTTAGAATTTAAGATTTAAGATTTTAATTGATTCATCTATGGTTTTTTTTGGCATTAAGCACTATCATATTATAATACAATTATTAGGTCAAAGAAAAAAAAATAATATTATTGAAGATCTCATTGTAGCTAATTGTAGCAAATTATTTTAGAAGTATAGATAATAGTGAAAGAAGTAGTAAAACTAATAAGTGCTTATATTGCCTCTTTGCATTATCAGGCTTTTACTTACTTTGCACATCTATAAATGAGGCAAAAAAAAATAGGTAAGAAAAATAATTAATATGAAAATCTTTAAAAAAAGATTTGAAAATAATTTGTAATAAAAATTATCTTAAGAAACTAAGATTTGATAGCTATAGAAGATTGATTGTGTACTAAGATTAAAATCAAACCTTGAGCCACAAAATTGTATACCTATAAGAATTTTATGATTCTTTGGTTGATTTAGGAGTGGATTTTGAGAGAAAATTAGAGCAAGGTTCTTTAGATGTTAGTTTTGAATGATTTGAATTCTTATTGACTTTATAAAGACTTTGCAAAGTTAAAGTTGTTTTGAGGTGACTTTGTTCTTTTGAGAAATATAAAATATTTATACTTTGGATAATTATAGAAGATTGGTATTGGATCTATGAATGAAATTTTTTGATTGTATAATCATGCTTGTATCAAATGTGAGTTGTAAGTTTGAGCCCGATTGAATGATTCATTTGAAAGTTATTAAAATTGAAGTATATTGAAATTTTAGAAATTAGAGTTTGAAGGACTAATAAGGATTTCTAAGATTTTGCAATAATTTGTTAGTTAGATTGAAAGAATTTTTTTTATACTAGTAGCAAACTTGATTTCCTACAACCTTAAAATTTTGAGAGCAATACAAAAAATATAATAAAAAATATTTATGCTAAGACATTGGCATCAAAGTTAAAGAAGAAAGTTGGCTGATACTTGAGTAGAATATAAAGTTTATCCATCATCCTAGTATGTTCAATCCTCCTTAAAATATTTTTACTTTTTTAAAAAATTTTAATTAAAAATTATATAAATTTTGAGTCAAAAATCATCAATTCAATTATTAATTATTGAGATTTTAATCTCTTATAGGATTTATTTAGAATTTTAATAAGATTTAGTTAAAAATAGTCATGATTTATTTAGAATTTATTGAGAAATTTATAAGGATTTGATTTTGATTTAGTGATGGTTTACTTAGATTTTTTTTATTTTTTATTTTTTTAAGATTTATTTTTTATTTTTTATGGTTTTTTATATAAAAAAATTAATATTTCTTTTTATTTTTTTTATAATTTCTTTAAGACTTCATTTGGATTTGATTTAGGTTCAATTAGGATTATTAAGCTTGAATTGGAATTTATTTAAGATGCTATTAGAATTTTTAGAACCTTGTTATTGCAATTTCTAATTTACCTTCCACAACTAAGTATGTGATGTATTCTCAAGCAAGACTTTATGTAATACAATAATATTAGCGGTATTATTTATCAATACAATGGAATAGTATTTGATTCTATTTTATATAGAATACTCAACTTATTTCTATCAATATTTGAATATGGTTTTTTGGAATATCATATCATTTCTTCTTTCATCATGTCATCATTTTTTTTCTTTTGTCTCTACTTGCATTTGTATGGTTTTTGTTTCAAAAATAAATTCTTTCTACCCAATAATCTTTTGCTACTTTCATATTAAGTAATAATCTAATCTTAGTCACCATTTTAAATTAAAATACTAAATTGATTGAGATGTACTTTATATATGTTATATGTTTAGATGTGCTTTTGATGTCATGGTTTCTTTTGTGTGTTAAAATGAAATATGCATGTTTTTTTGGTTGTATATATGTTTTTTACTTAAATATAATATATTCTTAATTATATCATAGGCTAAAAAATATTTTGAAGGAGTAATAAATTTTTAAATAAAAATTAGTGTTTTAGAGGTCTAGTCTAATTTCTTTAAATTATTTTTATTTATTTTTTCAACTTATTAAAGAATCAAATATATTAAGGTAATAAGCATGAAAGGATCCTTTGATGGATCTATTATTCTTCTTTTGGTTTTCTATTCTTTAGTGAATAGTATAATATCCATACTTGATAGAAGTTTGTATTTCATAAATTCACTCTTTATTTTAGAGCATCGACTTAGATATCAATATATAAATATTATTTTCTTTTTAATTTATTAAAAAATCATGAGGTTCTTTCTTATAGTTCTTCTACCTACTAAATAATTTTTACAAGTTTTTAATAGGTCATACATATGAAGAGAGGACCATGATCTTAATATTTAAATACTAAGTATCACAATTAAGAGAAGTAGTTTAAACCAACTAAGATAATTATCTTGAAGACTTATAAAGACTTCAATTTAATGAATTTTTTCTTAATAAGACTCTTTTAACTTATAAAACCTTCTAAATCTTAATAAATACTTCAATAATCACATAAACTTTCTAATCTTAATATTTTTATATTTAAACAACATTAAAACTATGTTTTATAGCAATTCCACCAATTAAGTTACATTGGTGAAAGTCACACTACAATTTTGTAGAAAATCCATTCAATATCCGCACTCCAATGCTTGCTCCCAATAGGACCTTTGAACATGAACTTTGAACATACACTGTGTTTCTCTCAATTACATCTCATATGTGCAACTTTGGGATCTAACTCACAGTGTTGTATGCAACATATAGCAAAATAATAATAACAATAATAAAATTAAATCAGCAAAGCATACAAAGAAACTGAGATGTAAGGTATATCATGGCTTCCAATGGCTAGAATTATCAAACCACAGAGGCCACATCTTGAAAACACACAATGCAAAACAATCTGAATCAATTTATCAAACCTATCACACCAAAAGAGAAAAAAACGAAGGCCACAAAACTTACCTGATTGCATCTCGACACAAGTGTTGCACCTCCTTTCATTTGTAGCACTCCCCTCACTAAATTTGCCAAACATGAGCCATGGAAATTGATTGAAGCAATTGAAAGCTTCTTTTAAGCATCGCAGGAACAATCCAAGCAAGATACTAGAAGAGCTCTGTTCAAAACAGCAAACTGTTCATTGCAAAATCGACCACAAAAATAGATTCAAGGAACCAAGGTTAGAAAAAGAAAAAGAAAAAAAAAGAAAAAAAAAAAAAAAGAAAAAAAGAAGAAGAAGGGGGATTTACTAAGGGGTGTTCGAATAGTCATCCCCTTTCCGATGTAGACAGACTAGTTTATCCAATGTAGGAAAAAGACGGCACCTTAGCTTAGCCAGCCACAACCATTACTTAGGAACTCGACTGAGTATAATAATTCAGCATTGTTCTCCTTGTCACAATCGAACATGTATTTTTTATTTCAGCACTTCTGTGCTGGTCAAGTCAATTCCAGTATTTGTTCATGATTGAGGTTCCAATCTCAATGTTTGTTCGTAGAAATCTGAGGCAAGCTGCAAATCGTAACAGAAGATGACAGAATCACCGCGAACTGGAAGATATGCAGCACGCGGGTTTGTTACAGTGGCTGCTCTTGTCCACGGATTGCCCACTTGAGACCCATCAGCCGCCAGCGATGGCGCCATGCAACGATGCTTCCCACAGGAACAAGACAACCAGCATTCATGGCATGTGTGACCCAAGTCTACAGACACCCACTGTGCAATGTGTGGAGTTGCGAGCCCACAGCAAACAAACTTACGGAAGATTGCATCCATTTCGTCTCCATTCGGCTCCATGGCAGCTGGGCTTTACTCGTGATGGCTACTGAAAGATCCCATGTTCTTGCTCTACCGTGGGTTTCAGTTTTTGGTTGGTTTGGAGTTTGGGGTCTGAATGCGTGCCCATTTCCATCCCCGTTCCTGTTCTTTTACCCCGTGTGCCATTGTAACGGTATGTAAAGGGGGGTAGATTTTTGAGACGAGTTGGCGGCAACCATCAGCCGTGTAGAGAGCGTCGTCAATGGGTACGTGGCTCTATTGTTTCTCAGTATTTGAGGGTAGTCTCTGATTTGGATATAGGTCTCTGCGTTGGGTACGACATTGAGCATTCAATTAATGATTGTCATGATTCGGGGTTTAATCTCGTGATCTTGAACAGTGGTTTGTAAAACTCTCATGGGATGATATGGTGGGAAGGAGGGGGTCGGTTGTAAAGAGAGTGTAGATCGGAAGGAGGCAGAAGATGAGTAAAACTGAAAGCGGGCTTTTCATTCGGGTTTTTATTGCAAACTTTTGGCATTGTCGGGCGGGAGACGTGGGATGGGTGGGTCAGGCGTCTGATTGCTTGGGAGTCCGTGCAGGATTTGCGTCTGCCACATGACGATTGCGGTACCGGAACTAAGATTGTACAACTACACTGCTCTTGGGAAGCAGCAGCGGCAGCTGCTGTGGTTATGGGAGTTTCGGTCTCTTCCTTCTTATTCTTTCTGCATTCCTGCCCTTGCTCTCACAATTGTGACAGCATAGCGGAGAGTGGCTACAACTGCCTTCAGTCTCAATCATGGGGAAGCCGTTTGTGCCCCTCCATGGTGTTGCGACTGATATCAAAGCTCGACTAGCATGCTACAAGCAGGACTGGATTGGAGGCTTCAACTCTGGCTACAGGTTTCTCCTTTCTCTCATGGACTCTCATGAATGCCGTGGGCTACATTTGACTTATGCAAGGGGAATATACATAATATAAATATAAATATAATAACTTGTGACTGTTTTGTCATGGCAGGATTCTTGCTCCAACAGCATACATATTTTTTGCATCAGCTCTTCCCGTAATTGCCTTCGGAGAGCAGCTCGAGAGAGATACAAGTGAGTGTTATGCACCAACTTTCCCTGTGAAGATCTTGATAATTGACTATCACGTGTTGTATTCTGTCTTCAATTTTTCGTGCTTAGAGAACTCGATCATTCTTTCATGCATCCTGTGGACAGATGGTGTGATAACAGCCGTGCAGACATTATCATCTACGGCCATCTGTGGAATTCTGCAATCAGTAATTGGAGGTCAACCTCTTCTAATTGTGGGAGTGTCGGAGCCAACTTCTTTGATGTATACGTTCATGTACCACTTTGTCAAAGGCCGGACGGAATTGGGATCAGAGCTTTTCTTAGCTTGGGTGGCGTGGTATGTGTCTCGCTCACACTAATGTTTAAAATTAAATCTTTCTTTTCTGTGAACTATGTGAATTAGCTGCATTACTGTAAATTCAATGAAATTTAGGTGAACCTGCTATCTGTTGTGGGGTTTCACCTTCTGCGACTGTTATACTGGAATGCTTACGTTCTGAAGGAAACATGATAGTTCGTCTGATTATAAATTTTGTAGCAACTGTATCTTCTTGCAGGATCCCGAGAAAATTTTCCTTATTTTATTGTTTCCTAAAGCGTAGCAGCTTGGGATAATTCAGATGAAAGTGACGAGTTTGGTTGTTTGTCACTGTGTTCAACCATGCTTGCAGGGTATGTGTGTGGTCAGCTGCATTTCTTTTTATCCTTGCTGCCATTGGGGCTTGTTCTTTCATCAACAGATTCACAAGGATATCTGGAGAGCTATTTGGAATGCTCATTGCAGTGCTATTTATTCAACAAGCAGTGAAGGTTTAATCCCTAACTACTAGGCTTTGTAGGACAAGCTATGTTTTTGCACTAGTATGTCAAGACCCAAATACATGACAAAAAATGCTTCGAAATTGTCATCTACAAAGCTTTCTTCATGTGATGTTTGAACACAGTATGATTTCCTCCGTCTATAACTCACTGTTTTTCCTCATTCTAAAAAGATCTGAGAAACGATGTTTTCAGGGAGTCGTTTACGAGTTTTGGGTTCCGGAACGAGAGGACCCAACTCTCGAGCAGTTCCAACACGCGTGGAGATTTGGCAATGGCATGTTTGGAATAGTGCTCACGTTCGGACTACTATGGACCGCCATGAAGAGCAGGAGAGCTAGGTCTTGCCGATTTGCATCAGGTAGCCCTGATATAGCTTGATGCCGAGTTGTGAGATTACTTTCGTCTAATTTTTGAACATGTTCAAGTTTCTTGTGTTTGTTTTACTATGTGATAGACTTACCCTGAGAAAGTTCTTCCCAGGTTCTATCAGAGGATTCATTGCAGACTACGGTGTTCCTCTCCTGGTCGTACTGTGGACTCTCGTTTCGTATGCATTCCGTGCATCTGTTCCTGAGGGAATTCCTAGACGCTTGTTTAGTCCAAACCCATGGTCTCCTGCGGCAACCAGGCACTGGACAATCCTCCTTGTAAGAATTGACATGCCCGAAGCAGTGATATTCTGTTTTCGTGTAGTAACAATGTACGTCTCGAAAAAATTTAGAATGCTTTGCACTCCAACGTCACGTAGTATCCCATGAAGCTTGACCACTATTCCATCTCCTCTACCTGCAGGATATGTTCAAGATTCCATACATCTTTATACTAGCCGCAGTACTTCCAGCGTTTGTGATTGCTGTCCTTTACTACTTCGACCACAGTGTATCAGCTCAGTTGGCTCAGCAAGAGGAATTCAACCTGCGGAAACCTACGGCATACCATTACGACCTCTTGCTTGTGGGAGGGATGGTAAAGTTTCTGAACAAGAATCACATCCAGATTATCATGATTGAAAGTTTAAGTGGAAAAAATGTCAAAAATAAACTCATTTGAAATAAAGTCCAGAGTTCGGTAGGATGGGGGATTTCGTTTGTCAAGCTTCTGAACTGTGATAGAATTTTTTCGTATGTTGACACTGATCAGATGCAATTGAGACCTCTTAGCTAGAGTGTGTTGATTGATCGTACAGGTTCTTGTGTGTGGATTGCTCGGCCTTCCACCGTCTCACGGAGTAATACCGCAGTCACCTATGCATACGAAGGCACTTGTCACATTGAAAAAAGAGGTGAAGCATCTTGATGCTTTCTTGGTTTTTTTGCATGCATGAGAATGCAATGTTGATCCTAGAATCGGATGTTTTTAAAGCAACAGACTTTGCCGTACTTGTGTTTAAAAAAGTAAGTATTAGCCACCAATAATCAACAATCACTACTCTGTTGTTTTCAGCTTGTGCGAAACAAGCTGGTGAAGCGACTAAAGAGCAACTTAAAGCAAAAAGCTTCGGTGGCCAACCCTCAAACTGATTTGCAAGATGAATACCAGGGGACTGAATCACCACTTCCTTATCCTTGCACTCCTCGGGTACTTATTCAGATCCTGAGGAGTTTCATGACTGGTGTTTTTATCCTCTGTTCAATCCGGAATTGTGAAACTTTGTGACTCTGACTTCTGTTCTATCTCTGTAGGCTTTAAAAGAGCTTCAGTTCAATAGCGTTCCCAGGAGCCCAGAAATTCCGAAAGAAGACGCAGTTTTTGATTTTGAGAAGCATATCGACTTGCTTCTTCCTGTGGAAGTCAAGGAGCAACGGCTGAGCAACTTGTTACAATCGCTTATGGTTGGAGGGTGCATAGCCGCAATGCCTGCCTTAAAAAGGATTCCGACGTCAGTGTTGTGGGGTTACTTTGCTTTCATGGCTATTGAAGGCTTGCCTGGAAATCAGTTTTGGGAGAGGGTTTGTCTTCTCGTGACTGCCCCTAGTCGACGCCACAAGTAATCGTTACTACTCCCAATATCTTGCATATGCTTAGACTGTTCTAGTCCTATTCTTCTTAACTTGGACACAATGCACCCTCTCTCAGTATCTCCCTCCCAACTTCAGACATATTCAATTAAAAGATTAGTCGCGGCCATCTTCTTAATTCAAAAGACCCGGCGGTACAGAATCAGCTTAAATTTATTTTTACAATGACTATTGTTGTTTTCTTAGCCCTGAGTTTGGGTGGCCATTTTCAGGGTGCTGAGGAATAACCACCTGATGTTTGTGCGCACGGTGCCTTTCAAAGTCATCGCTTGCTTCACATTGTTCCAGCTCGCCTACATGTTGAGCTGCTTCGCCTGGACATGGATTCCAGTGGGAGGAGTTATGTTTCCCATCTTGATCATGCTTCTGATCCCAGCACGCCAACACATTCTGCCTCGCTTCTTCAACCGCAAACACCTACAGGAGCTCGATGCAGCAGACTACGAGGAAACTGCCCTGCCATTCGACCTCGCAGTCAAGGTGGTGATTCAAATTTTCTGGCAATCATGATGCGAATCCTTAATGAGTATCAATAATGAGACGTTGTATACTTTGCTCACCGAGCAGAAAATTTTATCTCTTCCCTTGCTTTCCGTGATTGAATTTTCCTCACAGGAAGCCGAAGCTGAAGGCCTTGGAAAAGTAAATGTAGAGGCACAAGATGAAGAAGCAATGCCCAAGGTTGTTACCTCAAACCAGGAAGAAGTTAGACACAGTTACACGTTCAGAGGGCAAACTGATTCACATCTGGGTACGAACCCGCTATGTTCCCTGTTTCTGAATTCATGAATTTTTTACGCATGTTACAGTATTAAGCCCAAGTGAATTAAAGGATGCCTGTCTACATAACTGATTCTGGCTGAGCTGCAGGTGCTCCAACTCCGCATTTTCCACATCAAGCCCATGTTCCTGCCTCCTCCGCTCCATAAACGTCGTCTGTGATGAATTAATCTGAACTACAACTGCTAAAAATATGTGTAGTCAAATATGGCAAGCTTGAGGAGGAACATTCAACTTCTCTGCATAGGTTATCGACCAGTAGGGAGAATGGATCCCAGTGTCATTATATTTAGAACACTAGTTTGACTTAACTCCTGGAGTAGGGTTCTTAGCCCAAGAGAAGTGAACCAGGATAAATGTCGAAGAAACAGTTCTCGCCGCAGACTTGTGTAAATGGCCTCTTAAGATATTGCACCGATGCAGTGCTCATATTAACATTCTGCATGCTTTTTCTTTGAATGACTAATGGTTTTCTTTCGGCTTGTGGCTGTTGGCGAGTCCACTATCCTCGGCTACTCATGTAGCCATGAGAGAGGCAATCGTTTACTGCAAATTTATTATCTTTTGCAGTGTTTGATGAAACTATGCTCACAATTCTGGAATACATGATGTTGTGAGCCATGCTTAAGTTGTGCACCGTAACCTTGGCGTCACAGCACAGCCTCACATTTTCCACACGCAGGCTTGTGATCACTAGTCATGGAAACCTTGACCCCTCTCCATCAACAACCGCTTAACTGCCATCTTCAGCTCTGCCACAGACAGAAATATTGAGAGATTGTTTTGTGAACGTTGCAGCAGAAACTCTTTTATTTCAGCAGAGCCAAGGCAGGGCAGAAGTTCTCCTAACACTCGTATACTACACAATGTGCTTGCAATGCTTTGGAAAATGAGGGTGGCTAGTTCTCAGCCCTTGCTTGAGACCTTGCTAGGTGACCAGAGGAGACCATAAGACATTGTTTTGTAATTTTTTTATGTTTGTTTTCTTCTTTTAGCAAAAATGGCAGTTTTAAATTTAAAATAAAATAAAACAACAACAACAACATTCCCTGCAATGGACGCGAAGACCTGCTGTTACATGGATGCGTGTAAACTTGTGATCAGTGGCTTGGGTGACCAAGTGGGCATATTGTTGAATGCTGCATATATGTAAATTTCTAATCTTATGGACATTCAACGTTGATGATGTATTCATGTTACTGCAATGATATTTTCAGTTCTATTTTCACTGGAAATGCTTGAATCCATGACTGATTTAACATGTGTTGATTCCAGTTTTTATGCACACATATTATTATTTCTAATTGTTGGAAGTGAGAAGAATTGAAAATTAAATCACAGATAAAAAAGTCTAGTAATGACATGACATTATATGAGTTTGTAATCAAAATTTAAATAGTAGGTTGTCACATCTTTTGGCAAAATCAATTATTCAACTCAATGTTTAAAGATTAGATAGGATAAGAAATAATTATGTTATATCATGTTGTAACTTTTATAAAATTGACTAATAAATGCAACATTGTCCTACTTATATTCAATTTCTAGTTGTTAAACTTGTAATGTATATGTTGACACAAATAAAATTTCATGTTGCAACACTTAGATTTTGTAAGATGATATGTAAGTTGTTGCATGTTTCCTACAAATAAATCAAAATTTTGTAAAAGCAAAATGTTATTTTAATATCGTAGAAAAAGTTAATATATAACAAGCACTAATTTGTTTAGTTGTTCTTACATCTATACTATAAAATGCTTTATTTGAATTAATTTTGTAATAAATATATGAACTTAAGAATTTTTATACTAAAATTTAAAATAATAATAATTATTATTATTATTTTTTAAAAAATCTATAATTTCTAAAATATTCTATATTTTTAATAAAATATAATAACCTATTTTTAATCAAAAAAGATTTAAGATTTAAAATTGTATGTTTCACTCTTATTAAATTTTTATAAATATGAATTTAGACAAAATTCTAAAAATATGACATACTTGTGTATACTTGGAAAGAAAAAAAAAAAGTAAAGAACAAAAAGATTTAAGGTAAGAAAGAACTAAAATAATTATTGCTTTATGAAACAAAATAAAAATAGTCTTATTTTTTAAAAAAATTTAAAAATAATGTATTTTATAATATCTTAAATAATTTTATAATACATTATATAGAAAATATTTTATCTATTCCAGGAATATAAAAGAAAAAAACACCATTTTTGTATTATATTAAATTAAAAGTTAAAAATAGAAGATTATATACAGAACCAACTTTATGAATTTGTTTTAAATAAATTAACGAAAGAGAGAAAAAAATCTAGCTATGAACACAATAAAATATAATCCTTTAAATTTAAGTATTAGGAGTTGTTGTCAAGTACAAGAAAGAAGAATAGAAGCAACAACATGTAGATTAGAGAGAAAGAGAAATAAAGAAAGAAAGAAAGAAAAATATAATAAAATAATATTAAACCTAAAAATTAAACAATAAAATAAAAAGATATATTTGTGTATATGTATTTATGTACATTAGATCATTTAAAATAAAAAAATTAAATACAATTGTATATGGTATTGGAAATGTACCATAACTTAACAAGGCTAAGAAATAGGTATAATTTCTTGATAAGATATACATATATATATATATATATATATATATATGTACTTTTTTTTAATAAAATAAAATTTTTTAAAAAATATACAATCATATTTTAAGAAATATATTTCTTGTTTAAATTATGATATGTAATTATAAATTTTAAAGTAGAGTACGTATTAAAATTTTTTATTAAGAAAAAAATCAAAATATAATTTTATAGCTCGTAAGGTCCTTCATTAGACTAACTAGCTAAGATCTATAAGTGAATAAGTTAATTTGCTAAAAATTAATCTAATCACATAAAATACTCTTAAAATAAAGAAAAAAAATTATTTCTATTAAATAAAGATTATGATATTATAGTTTGAATTAGATTAGAATTTATTAGAATTTAATTAGAATTTATATATTTAAAAAATAAAAATAAAAGAAAATCTAATCTAAGTTTATAAAATAGATCAATAACTTAGATGAATATACCTTTAATTTTATTTTAAAAAAAAAAACAACTTGATCTTCACATTGAATTATAAATTCAATCTTTTTGTAACATAGCATAAAATTTAACCTTGTTTCAATATAAATAAAGAGATTATAAATTCTTCTCCTTCTCTCCAACAAAGTGACTTCTTCAACATAATAATAATAATAATAATAATAATAATAATAATAATAGTGATGTTACATTGAGACTTAACTTAATTATTAGATGAATTTCTAGATGAATTTATTAGATAAATTTCTATGATTGTGTAAATTTTTTTAAATTTGCTAATTTTTCACTCTATTATTTAATAAAGCACAAATGTAGTCAATGCACCCATTTGCAATAAGAGTCTTTCAATGTACTTTATGTCAATTCTCTATAATACTTGATGAATAATATACAATAGTGAATCATCCATGAACCTAATAATACTTGTAAGATACTTGGTTGATACTTTCAACTGCATTTCTTTTTTTTTCCAGTTCATTAACTTTCAAGGGATTATGGTGGTATTGAAGGCATGAAGTTTCCAAGTGAGTGAAGAAGTTAAGAATCATCTTTGTCATTATATATTACCTTATAGATATACAAGATCTTTCAATTGACATCACAAAATATGGACATGAACTATCTGTTAGATCTTGTCATTTTGAGGGAAGGGAAGGAGAGGGAGGTTGTGTTAAGCAGAGTCAAATGGAAGAAATTGAATTTATAGAATAAGATAATCCACATTTTTAAAAGTCTACGGCTCTTATGTTCTCTTGTCTGCAAAATTGGTGTAAAATATAACACAATCTAGTTCTTTCCACACAATTATTTTGGAATATTGTAATGACTTTACTAGATTCAAAGGCTCAACTTCCCAATAATGGAATGGTAAGTTAAGCCTTTCTTAAAAACTTCTATAATAGAAAAAAATCCATCTATAGGAAATAAAAACCTTTGTCAAAGATTGAAACTCTTGGACAACTAGAAAATTGAATTTCACAATTGTGACAGTTATTGAAAAGCTTTGCACTATAGCCTCTCACTTATAGCATAAACCCAAATAATACAGCACTGCTCATGTTCTCCTCACCCTCTGTTTAACATTGAAACACCTTAAACCATTATCTACCACTAAACCACCAATTAGACTTAAGGAGAAATTGCATGACCAGGCCTTTCATCGTGGAATACTATTGAGAGGATGTGAGATCAAGGACATGTGTGTAGTTCATTGACATGGCAATGGACACAAATAGAAGAAGAAAAAAAACATTGGAGCTCATGAGGAAGCTAGACACAATTTAAGAACACAGTTGCATAAAGTTATAAAGGCTTGAAAAGTCAGACCCTTGCACTGGCAAAGATTATGAGCCAAAAGCTATCTAGTGCCTAAAGGTTGCTCAAGGCAAGGTGGCAAAGGAGAGATTAGGAGGGCCACCTCCTTTGACTTAAAGGGACCTTCATGCAAGGGTGTGAAGGAGGTTTTAGGATCTTTAATTACCTTAGATCCGAAGTACCTAAGTGGTACTCGAAATCCTATTATAAGTCACTTGAGTATCAAAGTGATTGATTAGTTTTAGAAAGAGAGTGAGAAGAAGAGAGTTTCTTTAGTCCACCTTAGGACATAGTCCGGATGATGATCCCAAGTTAAAAAGAGATGTTTTGGGCTGGCGATACATCACCTCAAGAAAAGATATGATGTTGGTCAACAAGAGTTGTCTCATTTGACAAGGCAGCTCGATACCAAATATATTGTGATATTACAAACATATATAAGTATTCTACAAAATATCTATATAAATAGGTAGGAATAGGCAAAAATAGATAAAATTTATTATTTTCATAAAATCTTATAGGAAAGCTTTTTAAAAGCTTCATAGACGCTAACATATTACATGAAATCTTGCTTCAGAATATGCTGAGTACTTGGTTGTAGAAGATAAAAGAAATTTACAACAAGTCTTAATCACTGTAATAAAATTGTATATAAATTACTATAGAAGCTTAACAACCATAATCAAGCATCAATTAATTCTAATTATTATTTTTATTTTTTATTTATTTTTTATTTAATTTATTTTTATTTTTGAAATAAATTATAAAAAAAACACAAGAAAATCTTAAAAATTCCAAAGAAATCTTAAAGAAATCCAAATCAAACTTTAAACCAAATCAAATTCTAATCTTAATCAAAGCTTAATCCTAATCAAATCCTAATCCTAATAAAAATCTAAAACCTAATCAAATCCTAATCCCAATAAAATTCTAATCAAATCCTAAATAAGTCCTAATTAAATCCTAATCAAACCTTAGTCAAATCCTAATAAAATTCTAATCAAATCCTAAATAAATCCTAAT